GTAGAGCTTGTCCTTGAAGTAAACACAATTCTAGTTGTGTAGGAGAGCTTGTTAGGAGAACCAAAATGACTTCGAGAAATCCCATTTTCAGATTTGGTAAGTTGGAGTTGGGAAGTGGGAATGAGCCTCAAAGCTTCAACCCCTTCCACAATACCCCTTGGGGCTCTTTCCAACCATGGCTTCCATGGTTGGGGAGCTTCTAGGCTTGGAGCCTATGTGGCATCTTTGTTTGGTTGGGAAAACCCAACTTAATTGTGTTGTATGGTTGCTAGGTTCTTTGTATGGATTGTAACAACATTTGGCACAATGTGATTGGTTGGAAATCCAACCTCTCCAATCTTCACTTTGATGGGTTGGAATTTTCCAAGCCTCAAGGTTGAGGGTTCGAAATCCCAAGCCAATCTTCCTCTCCAACTCAACCTTCCCGATTGCCTTCACGCCACTTCTCATCGAGCACTCTCTCGATGTTGACTTAGGAAATCCGCGGTAGTTAGGTAGAGTAGGCGTTACAATCACTGTTGGAGGTTCATATGTGGGCGGGGTAGGTTGTGAATCCTGTTGTTATAAACACAAAACGCGCTGAGATGGAAGGTTGGGACTACGGAATGTACTGAAGAATGTCAAATACGAGGACAGAAATGGGCGAAATTGAGCTAGGTGGGGACTTTGGGGCAAACTAGGCTCGGAAGGGTCGCGTACGGGACGGAGGCGCCTCGGAAGTGGTTTGTGGCGAAAATGCACTGACGCATGACCCTTGGAAGATAAGGGCGTGTAACAGTTTCCGAAATTCATCCCCCGGACGGGCCCCGTCCGGGCTTTGGTAAGGTTACTACTTTCGTCGAATTTCGTGAAGGGGTTCGCAAGACACCATGCGACGTAGCGTGCGTCCGGACCTAATCTGGCACTTTTCTGTCAAATATGGTCTGGACGGAATGTCTCAACGAAACGAGGTCGACGGTCGATCGAGTTGTTTTAGGCTTGCCTCTTGCTTCTTGCCCTGCTTAATATGTTGTTTATATATGCATACATATATATGAACTATTGAACTGGCCTTGTGGCCGTTTTTCTTAGAGGTTGGCTAGTTGTACCAGCCTGCGTTGCTTGTCTTTCCTTGTTGCTTGCCTTGAATGGTCTTGTGACAGGTTGTTGTCAGAACATTATAGCTGATACATTTGTGTAGGGTGTAGTGGGGTAGCCCATAAGGGGTACAACCCAATTAGGGTTAGTACTTGTACCCAACTGTTTGCTATCAGAATGTTATATTTCTCTAGCCTGCAGTGGGGTACTCAATAGTGAGTACAGCCCAATTTAGGGTTTGCTATATGTACTCAATTGCCTGCTAGTGAAACTTCCCTCTTTTTTGTTTCATTCATTCGTTCCATATTCTAACATGGAATTGTTATAGTCACAATAGGCTTGAATGTGCCTAAAACGAAAGATAGACAGCACAGACGGATTTCTGCACAGCGGCTTCAAACGTTGATAGCGTTCTGCTCACAGCTGCAAATGACTTGATTCAAATTGGATCTGGAGCGTCTTCACGTCGTCTACAATTAGCAATTTAGATTGCACGATTTGATAAAGAATTGACGACACAGCATTGGTTTGAACGACACAGCCCTCTTCTTCAGCATCCCCTTCCTCCTCCTCCACTTCGGCCGGGATGATGGCAGCCCCTTCCCTGAGGGTGCCGTTGCCCAGGTCCGAATAGAGCTTGGAACGCAGGGCTGCCTTTCGATCAAAGGCATCACGGGCCCGCCGGGTGAAGGCGACGAAGGTGACGTCTGTCATCTTCTGCGCCGTGAGGCGGTTCCGGTCGCGCCTCTGCACACGTGCCAGCGCCGACCAATAGCGCTCCACCTCGGAGGAGGTGACTGGCTGTGAGAGTGACGTCACAGCCAGGTCTTGGAGCGCCTGCACATCCCCACCAAACAGGAACCACCATTCCGCATCCGTCATGCGCCCCGCCGCCACCAAGGTCGTTGCTGCCCAACGGGCATCGTGAGAGCCCAGCCTGCCCTCCCCTCGGTGAAACTGAGCCACCTGTGCAGCTAGGGTTACTCGCTGCTGCACATCCCCCCCACGGGCTTGGATTACCTCATCCGTCCCCTTCCTAATCTCGGGATCGTTCCTTACCTCCGCGATGTACTGGTTACGGGGGTTGAGAAGCCAACCGAGGGCGTGCAGTGGGTTGTGCAGTTGAGCATCCCACCTCCTGGCTATGATCGACTTGATGGCGGTGAGAAAGGTGCTCTTGTCCTTGTGCAGTAGCAGACCCGTCCGCTTGATGAAGTGTGCGGCTGCGCACAGTGTATAACGAGAACTAGTTAGTAACAAAGAACGAGCGGACGTATGGGGAGAATGAATGTTTATACCACATCATTATGCTTTCCGCCGGCCCACTTACCAGCCTCCTCGGCCGCCTTAGTCGTCTTCACCGTGGCCTCAAGCATGAGGCCGTACAGCTGCCCCATGAGTTGAGCCCGTGTGTCAACGGCGCGAAGAACCTCGTAGACCGGAGTCATGAGGCGCAACACGGCCGTCCCACAGTCCCAAAAAACATCATCCAAAAGCAGCTTCCTAACCTCCATCCCCTCCTCCGTCCGTGCCACCGCCACATCATCCCACTCCTCGCTGACAACCATCGCCCTCAACGCGCGCTTCACCTCCAGGAACCTGCCGAGCATGATGACCTGGGTGCCGAATCTCGTTGCACCCGGCCGCACCAACGAGAGCTTGGTAAAAAGCTCACGGAACAAAACGACGGCCGAAGCGGAGCCTTTGATCATCATCACCACGCTGTGCACCTGAGCAAGGACGCGCTTAACAGCCGGGATGTTGCCGATGTCGTGCAACATGAGATCTAGGCAGTGGGCGGCACAGTTGGTGAAGAAGATATGCGGATACTCCACGCGTAGCTTGTTGGCGGCGTTCTTGTTGTTCGAGGCGTTGTCCATCACGACTTGGACGACATGCTTCGGCCCCACCGTCTTGATCGCTCCATCAATTAGACCCGCCAAGTAGTCCCCGGTTTTCCTTGCGGTCTTCGAATCGACGATGTCGACGATGACGGGTGCAGTGTCATTCAGCGCGATCACACACACCGAACCGCGGGATTTGATGCACGTCCACCCATCGATTGAGAGCGTGCACCCGCTTGTCTTCCAACTGTCCTTCAACGGCCGCACAAGGTCCTCCGAGTCCGCCTTCAGCTTGTCGAGCAGCGGGCCGGATACCTTGTACGGGGTGGGGAGGGTGTACGGTTTCGCGTACACGATCACCGCGTCAACGAACGCCTGGATCGACTTCGACTTGCTGACGTTGAAGGCGAGGTCATTCTCGGCAACTGCAGCAGCCCACAGGTAATCCAGCCGAGTCTGCGCAACTTCATCCGTCATTTCGCGGATATCTCGCTGCCGAGAGCGACGCGCGGGCGTCGTTTCCACCGTGGACGTGGAGGCACGGTTTGATCCTCCCGTACCACCCGAACCATTTCCCGTGGATGAGCGCTCCTGATCGGCTGTCGCCCGCCGCTGCTTAGCGTAGTCCGACTTGCACATCGCGACGTTTTTATCCTTCTTGTTAGTGCCGAATATGTGCTCGCGGATCCTAGTCGCATTAGCCGTCACAGGAAGTGTGCAATGGATGCAGGTTGCACCGAATACCCGCTCGTCTGCATCCTTAATCTTCTTGACATGCTCCCAATACTCCGAAGCGGGACGCACCATGGCGTCGTATAACACTATGCTAAGAACGAGTGGGTCAGAGATCAGTGATATGAAGACTTGAGGCAGCGAGAGTGAGGTTGAATGTGTCGAGTGGGTTTTTCCAGCAGCAATATGTACCTCTTACTGCTTGATGGTGCTGTATTGACGACGGGAGGTTTGAAGAATGGATGAGATGAGCTGGAAGTTGAATGTGCGATTGCTATTGGCTGGAAACGTGTCGCACTCAAATGTGTGGAGCGCCACGGTTGCATGCGATACTGAAGATCAGCGAAACGGGTAAAAAATTATGGTGGGTTCGCCAATTTTGTAAAATGTCGCGCCTCGACAAATTGGTGTTGGCGCGATGCGGCGAACGACCCTAACGACTCTGCGAAACGGGTTTGCATTTCCCCCCTTTCGTCAAATGTCAGACATGTCGCGCCTCGGCATGTTGCTGACTTGCGCGACTCGTCCCAAACATTGGCGGGACTGACAAGACTTTGCAAGACATCCCCCATATAACCCTCGAAATTGTTCTAATGTTGAAATTTATTGTACATTGTTCGGTTCTAAAATTTCGACCGAAAAAAACGACCGTATTTTTAATCGAAACATAAATGTAACAGATGACCGTACTAAACCATTTTAAACCACCGTATAATACAAAACCATATAATACGGTGAAATTTCAAAATTTCGGTCGTATTTTTGAACCCTGCCTGCCGCCACCAGCACTGCCTCACGTGCCACCAGCAGGAGCAGCAGCAGCAGCAACAGCAGGCAGAGGTGGCGGACGGCAGAGCAAGGGAAAGGAGACGAAGGTGAGCGGGTGGGGTTGGGGGAACGAGGACTGAGGGAGTTTTTTTTGTTGGAAGCGTGTCCATGTGAGCATAGCAGCATGGCAGCATGGCTTGTTGTTTGGAAACACCTCTTTATGTGCTGCACGCGTCTCGTCTCGGTTGTTTATTGTCATAAGTAAATGCGAAAGTGAATGCGTGCTTGCATACGAGTCTGATCCATCCTTTCTGTTTATTCACATGTGCTTGTTCAAATGTGAATGCATGTGTGTTTGCATGGATGTGTGTTTGCATGGATGTGTGTTTGCATGGATGTGTGTTTGCATGGATGTGTGTTTGCATGTAATGTGAGTTTGCATGGAATGTGTGCGTGCATGCCCCCCTTATGCACCATGCCCTGCCCATGCACCATCATCGCTCGCCCACAGTGTGTGTGCGCTGCGCACCCAGCTGCCGCGCGCTAACCCCTTCTACGCCTTCACCCCGCCCCCCCCGGATGCACCGGGGACACCACTCTCCCACCAAGGTCACTCCCTCCCCGTCATCTCCCCTCCCCGTCATCTCCCCTCCCCGTCCTCTCCCCTCCCCGTCCTCTCCCCTCCCCGTCATCTCCCCTCCCCGTCATCTCCCCCCCCCCCCGTCATCTCCCCTCCCCGTCATCTCCCCCCCCCCCCGTCATCTCCCCCTCCCATCATCTCCCCTCCGCCTCCGCTCCTCATTCGTTCCCTCTTCTCGCCCTCCCATGCCGTCCATGCATCTCCTCGCTCGCCCTAACCTTCTCCCCACTCCCCTCTTCCCACCGTCCGACTCCTCTATCTATGCACTATGCATGCTGTATCGCTTTTGTATGGTTGCTGTGTGGTTGCTGTGTGGCTGCTGTGTGGCTGCTGTGTGGCTGCTGTGTGGCTGCTGTGTGGCTGCTGTGTGGCTGCTGTGTGGCTGCTCCTGCGTGCCACTGCCTGCTTGACTTCTCCCCTCGTGGCTCAAGTCCCTGCCTCCCGTCTCTCCACCCCCAGTGCCCATGTGCGAGTGGTGTGGCACGTGGAGGGGCAGCAAGCGCTGTGGGAGGTGCAGGCAGGTCGCTTACTGCAGCAAGGACCACCAGGTTCGCCCGCCGTGTCTTGCCTCCTCCCATGCTGTTTTACAACCATCACAGCATCACAGCATCACACCGTTCGTTCTCCCCCTTTCCTGCACGGTGCCGTTGGGAGGTCAGGAGTTGGATGCCCTGACTTCATTCTTTCAAACCACCACGCCTCCCTGCCCTTCCACCACGCCTCCCTGCTTTCAACTCAAACCACACCACACCTTTGTGCACTCATCTTCTTCTCTTCCCTCTCCGCTCCCTGTGTCCCTCCCGCTATCCTCCCGGCACGTCATCACCACCTTCCCAACGCCCCTGGGCCCATCAGAAGGAGCACTGGCGAGCGGGCCACAGCGCTGCCTGCCCCCGCACCCCACCTCCCACCTCTGCCACCTCCCCACCCGCTGCTCCCTCCACCGCTGTCCCCTCCAGTGCTGCCCCCTCCAGTGCTGCCTCCTCTGCTCCTCTCACTCCTCCGCCTGCTGCCGCTGCTCCTTCTGCCCCGTCCCATCCTCCTGGCACCGACACGTCAGCAGCGAGGATACCTTCCACGTCAGCAGATGCTGAGTCAGCAGGGGGTGCAGGGAATGACGTGTCAGAAGCGGATTGGAGAGTAACGGTGTTGGACAGGGGCGGGTGGAAGGAGTGGGAGATGGTGGTGGAGGAGGAGGAGCCGGAGGAGGGAGATGAGGGGGAGGAGGAGGGGGAGGGAGAGGAGGGAGAGGAGGCAGGGAGAGAGGGGGGGAGTGGAGGGGAAAAGGGGGCGGGGGTGGGGCCCAGGGGGGCGGAGGTGCGGCGGCTAATGAGGGAGTATCGGGAGCGCACCAAGGCAGAGGGGCCCATCGCTGCCAGCGAGCTGGAAGGCTTCGGAGAGGTAAGGCGCCCCTGTGGATGGGGAAGGGGTGGGCATGGGGTGTGCATGGGGTGCGCGTGGGGTGCGCGTGGGGTGCGCGTGGGGTGCGCGTGGGGTGAGCATGGGGTGTGCACGGGGTGCGCGTGGGGTGCGCGTGGGGTGCGCGTGGGGTGAGCATGGGGTGCGCATGGGGTGTGCATGGGGTGTGCATGGGGTGCACATGGGGTGCGCATGGGATGGGCAGGGGGTGCGCACGGGGTGCGCATGGGGTGCCCATGGGGTGGGCATGGGGTGCGCATGGGGTGGGCATGGGGTGCGCATGGGGTGCGCATGGGGTGCGCATGGGGTGCGCATGGGGTGCGCATGGGGTGCGCATGGGGTGGGCATGGGGTGCGCATGGGGTGCGCATGGGGTGCGCATGGGGTGCGCGTAGGGTGGGCATGGAGTGCGCATGGGGTGGGCATGGGGTGGGGTGGGCGCGGTGTGGTGAAAGCTGACTCAAGTATCAGTGCCGAATTTGTTCGTCATTGCGACCTTGCCTTTTCATTCCCCTGCCTCACTCTGTCACTCTCGCCCCCACGTGTCCCCGTGGCTCCCTGTACTCTCATTGCCCAACCCTTCCATTCTGCCTTCCCAGTACGAGCCGCACTCCCGCTTCCCTCTCGCTGTGCCTCACAGCCCTGCTTGACCACCCACCCACCCACTCTCCCACCCACCTACCCGCCCACGTCTAGTCTCTGCTCCCCTCAATTCCATCACTCCTTTTTTGATTGGGTACAAACAAAGCTGCGTCCCTTTCCTCTCATTGCACTTCCTCTCAATGCCCCCTCGTTGCGGTGTGGCATGGTGTGGTGAGGTGTGGCATGGTGCGGTATGGCATGGCATGGTGTGGTGTGGCATGGTGGGTATTTCAGGGAGCGGATGTGGAGAAGAAGCAATGGGCCGCGTTTCAGGCTGTGATTGCCAAGGCACCTGAACAAGTGATCAGGTGATTGCCAAGGCACCTGAACAAGTGATCAGGTGATTGCCAAGGCACCTGAACAAGTGATCAGGTGATTGCCAAGGCACCTGAACAAGTGATCAGGTGATTGCCAAGGCACCTGAACAAGTGATCAGGTGATTGCCAAGGCACCTGAACAAGTGATCAGGTGATTGCAAGGCACCTAATCATCTGGTGATTTGCAATCGCCCCTTTCAAATTCAGCACACATACTAAAAGACGCACAACTGCCCAGCCCCGTCATACACACAACCTGCCAGACCCGTCACACCCACAACATATCATACCAGCCCCCTTAAGCGCAGAACCTCAGCCATCGATCTGTGATCAAACAATTGCAAAAGCTTGCTCATTTGAAGCAACAGTGGAATGACCTGGAATATGTGTGAACAAGAGTTCAGTCACACATCTACGCACGCACACACACACCCGCACACACACACACACACCCGCGCACACACACACCCGTGCACACACACACCCGCGCACACACACACCCGCGCACACACACACGCACATGTGTGTGCATGCACGAATGTGCAAGAGAGCTGCTGCTTGTTGCCATCTCCGTCCAGCATGCCCTTCCCTGCCATGCCTCCTGCCCTCTGTCTCGCACACCTGTCCTCACCAGCCATCCTCCCCCTCCCTCCTCCCTTCCCCTCCCCTCCCCTCTCCTCCCTACTTTCTTCTGTCCTCCTCCCTCCCCATATCTCCCCCTCTCAGATACTGCCGATCAGCCACCGCCCGTCCGCTGTGGCCTCAGCTGCAGGGGCAGCCACCCAGCCAGGCTGCCATTCCTCCCTGCAGCGGCTGCGGGGCTCAGAGGATATTCGAGTTCCAGGTGCGCTCAGGTGGATTCTCAGGTGGGTTACCCCAGTGCGTTCGGGTGGAAGTGTCTGAAGCCAGGGATGTCTTTTCCTCCGCCCCTTCCACCATCGGGTTCCTTCACTGCCGTTGCGGCACCAGCCTGATGCTGAAAGGGAGTGAGTGGGGGGCACTCACTGCCTCACTCACCGCGCGGCTGCCCACCAGCCTCCAATCACCGCTGGCCATCCCGTGCTGGCTGCTCATGCACGTGCAGTGCAGCCCTCTCCTCTCCACTCCATCCATGCTGCTGCACTCACCTCCCCCTTCCCCTCGAGTACCCTGTTCCATCTGCCGTCCGTGCTGCCTACCCACATCCATCACTCCATGCACTCCCCCAACCCAAGCCACCCACGGTGCAAGCGTTGCTGTTGCTGCACTCTCATGCTTCATAACACATCCCTTGCTTTCCCTCTTTCACCCTTCCCGCCCCCCCCCCCAGGTGCTCCCTCAAATCATCTACTACAGTGCGCCTGACGCCACTGCTGACTCAGCACTGGACTTCGCCATGCTGGCAGTCTACGTCTGCCCCAATTCCTGCTGCCGCTCTTCACCGTTCAGCACCGCACAGCAGAGCAGTGGCACCGACCCAAGCAGCAGCACTTCAACTGAAGACACCGCAGGCGGGACTAGTGCAGAGAGAAGCAGCAGAGATGCAGGCAGTGGGCAGGCAGAGGGCGGCGAGGCAGCAACGCAGCACGGGGGTTTACAGGAGCAGAGCATGAGGTATGTGGAGGAGTTTGTGTGGGTGCAGCTGCCTTCCCAAGACCCCCCTGTTGTTGCTTCAACGGATTGAGGCATTTACCTCAGGGCCTCAGATTCATTATGGCCTAGGCTGAATCGTCAGCCTTAGGAGTGAGCTGAAGGCTGATCAATCAGGGTAGTCTTGAAAAAAAAAGCTGAAATTTCAGTGTTTAGTTTAGAAAAATGGCTGATCATTCAGCCTTGCTTTTAAATAAAAGGCTGAACATGACTTCAAGCTTTCCTACAAGGCAACACATGCATTCAAAGTTTGGCATTGATAAAAGGGCATCACGAGGGACTACCCTCAGCTCATATCGCCATCATCATCATTATCATCATCATCATCACTAGATGAACAGTCTAGTGCATCATCTACAGGCTCGTCCTCGTCATCATCTACTCCTATGTGTTCTTTTGATTTCTTGCTGGTGCGGTGCCATTCGGGGTGGAAATAGGGGCATTAGAGAACGGCTTTCGCTTCTTGTAGCTTCTGTCAAAACATATTTGTATGTTCTTAGTTCTGCTAGGCTACAGTGAGGTGCTCAGTATAGGGTACAACCCAAGTTAGGGTTTCATACTTGTATCTCCATGTTGCTAGTCATTCATCATTCCTGTCTTCCTATTTTAACATGGTACCGTAAGCCCCCGGATAGAAGCGCAGGCCTCGGATAAGCGCCGGCGCTTATAAAAAGATGACAACGCTTATATCCGGTCCTCGATTGTAAGCCCACCCCCTAAAAAAAGATGATTTATTATAAGCGCATGTTGGTTTTTCATTTGAAAACTTGACGAAATACAGAAACAAATTTCACATTATCAGGGAAACGAACTACAAATTCGATTTCCCACACTTGGATCTCACTTTTTGTGCGTCTAGTCAGCATGTGCTGTCATTCTGTCCGTTTGAGTTGGCAGGGAATCACTCCCTGCCAAGCTGCGCGAGAATCAGATTCGCGACCCTATATGTTTTCGACTCGATTACAATTGGCAGAACGAGATCTACAGTTTGGTGTAAAACAGATAGAAATTCCTTTTGCCATTTCATAAACGCCGGCGCTTATAAAATTCCTCGATTATAAGCGCACCCCCTAAAAAACAATGTTTTTTTATACCCCCCAGGGACGCTTCTATCCGGGGGCTGACGGTATTAGAGCATGATCGTTCCTAGGGCCCACCGAACGTTCCGCCCTGCCCTACTCGTAATTTTTTTCGGCCCTGCCCTTAGGCCCGCGCGACGCCCTGCCCTGGAGCCGCGCTCGCCTCTACAGCCTGCGCTCGCCTCTGCAGCCCGCGCTCGCCCCTGCAGCCGCACTCGCCCCTGCAGCCCGCGCTCGCCCCTGCTGCCCGCTATCGCCCCTGTAGCCACGCTCGCCCCTGCAGCTCGCGCTCGCCCCTGCAGCCGCGCTCGCCCCTGCAGCCTGCGCTCGCCCCTGCAGCCCGTGCTCGCCCCTGCAGCTGCGCTCGCCCCTGCAGCCCGCGCGCTGCCCAGCCCTGCAGCCCGCGCGCCTCTGCTGCCCTCCGCCCTGTCTGCGCCCTGTAGCCCGCGTGCGCCCTGCAGCCCGTACTGACCTACCGCCCTCCTGCCTGCTCTGTCCGCGCACTGCTGCTAGGTCGTGCCCTACTACCCACGCACAGCCACTCCAACAGTTGCTACTGCTGTTTCAGCCATAGCGACCACCGCAACTGCTACAGCTGCAGCTACAGCAGCTGCTACTCACGCCCTTGCGCCGCTGCTACTAACTGCCACTGCCTGTCATGGCCACTATTATGGTCGTAGCAGCGTCTGCCTCACCCGGACACTCTATCACCGCAACAGCTTCGCGAGAGGGTTATTCAGCGAGGCCGTCCTGGTGGTCCAGATTATCGTGCTGGAGGTGCCAGACAGCAGCGACAGTGCGCGCACCCGGACACAGATTCGTGAGTGTGTCGTTCGGCGAGGCCGTCCAGGTGGTGGAGGTTATGGTTTTATGGGTACTGGACAGCGGCAACAGCAGCGTCAGCATGAGAATTTCTCCCCGAAGCGGCTTCGCGACTGTGTTTCTCAGCGAGGCGTCCCTGGTTGTGTAGAGGCTGCTGCTCTAGGTGCTAGTGAGTCTGTTGCCGCTCTAGGTGCTAGTGAGTCTGCTGCAGCTCTAGGTGCTAGTGCGTCTACCGCCACTGGTTCTACCTCAGCTGAGGCCTTGCACACTTTCACACTTGACTCAGGTGCGTCACGTTGCTTCTTTCGTGATTGCACCACAGTCAGACCGCTCGCAGCAACTGTCCCTGTCTCACTAGCTGACCCCACTGGGGGGCCAGTAGTAGCACGAGCCTCCACTGTCCTCCAGTGTCCGGCAGTCCCCTCCGGCTCTCTTTCAGGTCTCCACCTCCCCTTGTTCTTGACAAACTTGGGGAGCAACACAATCCTTCAGGATGTATGGGTTGATACCTTTATCCCCGGGAAACAGCGAGTGGTGATCTGTACGTGCTCCCTGACTGGCCGTCACCTTGCTACGTTCACTCGGCAGCCTAGGTCCAGTCTGTACACACTGACCACTGCGTCTGCCCAGGTGCCTACGTCAGGTCATATGGCTGCGTCGAGTCAGGTGTCTACGTCTGGTCAGCTTGCAGCGTCTTGCTCGTGTCGGGTACTTTCCCACCAGAATCTCCTCTGGCACCACCGACGCGGTCACCCCTCTCTGCCGCATCTGCGCAGCGTGCACTCCCGTCTCCTTGTCTCTGGCCTTCCTAGGTCTCTGCCCCCCCTCCCGCGCTCGACTGCCCCGCCGTGCCTTCCCTGCGTCGAGGGGCGGAAGCGCGTCGCTCCTCACTCCACCTCGTTTCCTCCGACCACTGCTCCTCTGCAGACTCTCCACATGGACGTGTGGGGCCCCGCCCGTGTCAGTGGGACGGACCAGGAGCACTACTTCCTGCTGGTCGTTGACGACTACACGCGCTACACCACCGTCTTCCCCTTGCGCAGCAAGGCGGATGTCAACAGTGAGCGGTTCCGGCGGGACCTTCCAGTCCTGCGTCTGCACTCTGACAGGGGCGGTGAGTTCTCTTCTGGCCTCCTTGCGGAGTTCTATCGAGACGAGGGCATCGTCCAGTCATTCACGTTTCTGGCCTCTTTGCAGCAAAATGGGATTGCTGAGCGTCGCATTGGCTTGATCATGGAGGCTGCTTGTACATCCATGATCCATGCAGCTGCTCCCCATTTTCTGTGGCCGTTTGCGGTCCGATACGCCGTGCATCAGCTCAACCTCTGGCCCAATGTCTCTTTGCCAGAGACCTCGCGCACACTCCATTGGACGGGAGAGGTTGGCGATGCGTCGGCGTTTCGGGCCTGGGGCGCGCTCTCCCTTGTTTGTGATACCACTGCGAGCAAGCTCTCTCCTCGCACTCTCCGTTGCGCCTTTCTGGGCTTCCCCACCAACGCCCCGACGTGGCAGTTTTACCACCCTCGCTCACGTCGCGTCTTCTCCTCACAGGACGTCACCTTTGACGAGTCGACCTGTTTCTACAGGCTCCACCCGCACGCGTCCCACCTGGTCCCCCTGGCACCTCTCTTCTTGGTACCAGTTCCCCCCCCGGTAGACCCCCTCCCCCCACAGGGTCCTTCTCCCTCAGGTGTCTCTCAGGTAGACCCACCCCCCTTGGTTGAGCCTTTGGTGATCTCCTCTGACACCTTTGGCCCTGCTGAGGGGGGTGACCCCGCTGCTGACGACACAGCGACCACTCGTCGCTCTCCATGCTTGGAGACCCCTCCTGGTTTTCCGCCTCGACCGTCTTCACCGCCTCTGCAGCCTGTAGCTGTGGACACTGGTGCTGCTGGGGGTGGTGACACGGGAGGTGAGGACGCGGGAGGTGCTGGTCCTGGGGGTGCCGAGACTGGGGGTGCTGGTCCTGGGGGTGCTGAGACTAGGGGTGCTGACTCCGGGGGTGCTGACTCTGGGGGTGCTGCGAGTCCTAGTGGTGGCGGGGCCGTGGGTGCTCCTACTGCAGGTCTTGGCGTTGGACAGCAGCAGCCGCCTAGTCGACTCGAGACGCCCTCACCGCAGCAGCTTCATGAGTGGGTCGTTCGGCGAGGCCGCTCTGGTGCTAAAGCTTGGAGTTTTACAGCTCCTCGAGCTGCTGGTCCTGGAGGTGCTGGAGCTGCCGGAGCTGGAGGTGCTGGTACTGTTGGCACTGGAGAAGCTGGAGCTGGAGGTACGGGAGGTGTTGGTGCTGCTGGTGCTGGAGGTGCTGGAGGTGGTACTGGAGCTGCTGGCACTGGAGGTGCTGGAGGTACTGCTGGTGCTCGAGGCGCTGGAGCTGGAGGTACTGGAGGTATTGGAGGTGCTGGAGCTGCTGGTCTTGGAGGTGCTCGTACTAGAGGTGCTGGAGCTACCGGAGCAGGTGGTGCTGGAGGTGCTGGAGGTGCTACTTGAGCTGCTGGCACTGGAGGTGCTGGAGGTACTGCTGGTGCTGGAGGCGCTGGAGCTGGAGGTACTGGAGGTACTGGAGGTGCTGGAGCTGCTAGTCCTGGAGGTACTCATACTAGAGTAGCTGGCGCTGCCGGAGCTGCTAGTGCTGTTGGTGCTGGAGGTGCTGGTGCTGATGGTGCTGGAGGAGCTGGAGCTGTTGACGGTATGGGTACTGCCCCGCACCGACCGTTTTTCTACCCGCAGCCGCAGTCGTCCCTGCCGCCGCCTGACTCGGTCCTTCGCCAGGTTCTTAGTCTCCTGTCTTCCACTGGCCTCACTCCACCTCTTCTATGTCCACCGAAAGACCAGTCTCAGCCACACCTACTGCCTGACCCTCTGCTCCCTGCTCCTGCTCCTCACACTAAGGTGACTGAGTCTCTGACTGAGCTTCGTAAGCCTGAAACTCGTGCTTCCATACCTGTTCGTGCTCGTCGTGTCACTCGTCCTCGTCCTCCTGCTGTCCCTGGCACTCACGTTATGGTACTTCGTTCTTCCTCTGTTCCACAGCGTGTTCCCCTGCCGTCTCATCCAGCTTCCTCTCTTCCTGACGGTCCTGACCCAGCGTCCGACCTTGCTCGTGTTGCCAGTACTACTATCACTCGTCTCC